TCTACAGATTTATATGGTACTGTTCGTGAACACATGTACAGTTATTCCATTACTTTTTTGGTCTTAATTCACATTCACTAAGTACATTCTAAATGACAAACTATCTATCATTAGATGATTGAGCATAAAGTCCGTACAATTATCGGAACTGTTTTGATTAGGAATGATAGAAGTAAATAGTAAGCGATAGGACAGAAAGTTTTTTTTTCTAAAAATTACTGCTAAAGTACATTGTACTTTTTATTCCAAAAAATATTTCCTTAGAATTGTGACAAAACACCTTCCTGAAGAAGGAGTATGTCAATATCCTAAATGTGAAAAAACTCCTCTTATATTTGAGTTGCACGTGTTACGATAAAAACAAGTAAGGAGAAAGAAATTTTCTTTAAACAAATTCATGAATTCATTACTTAAATGTGTCTGCGGTCTTGCCGTTGATAAGAATAGATTTGTCATTATTATAATTGAACATAGGGCATACCTTCCTTCATAAATCTACAAGTAATTAAGCACAGCATGTCGTTTTAAAACAAAGTGTACATCATGTTTGGTTAGTAGAAGAAAATTCACAATTAAAATTTTCACGACTTTTGACAAAATTATGTATTTTTCTTGATAAGCCGTGTTTCACTGTAATTGTGTTACTTGTGTTATCACGAAGTCATCGTAATTGTCATTTTGTGTCGTGAATCATTCTATGCCAAAATTAGCAAAATTGTACAATTGTAATTATCTTTGTGCGTAAAGAAATGTTGTTTTGTATATATATATATGCATATATTAAATCTATAAAAAAGAGATAATATCAAAAATAAATCTTACAAAGTACATACTATTCAAACGAGCAAAGAATTCTTTGATCACAAAAGAAAACCAATGTAGCTACACTATGACATATCAAACGTTGCAATGTATTTTTTTTATCCAACTCGCGAAGGCTCGGGGATAAAAACACAACTCGTTGGATAAAAAATTATCATGTTTCCAACCACAAACTATGAGAGATCCTATATATTTTGTGATTTATATACAAAATCTTGTTATTGATATTTAAAAACACGTGATTTGTATTCTGAAAGTTGTTATTCATATTTCATTTTCTATATTTTGTAATTTATAATCGATAATTGATATTCATATCCGAAAACTTGTGATTTTTAAATAGTATATGCAAAATCTTTATATTTTATATTATATAATTTTCATATTCCAAAACATATCAATTAGATGCAAAGGCTTGTGATTCATAGTCGATTATCTTGTGATTCGATTATCCTTTGGTTCTTACGCGATAATCTTGTGATCTATATGTGCAGATTAGATCTCATATAAATAATAACAAGATTTAGCATATAAATAAATCAAAAGATTATCGAACATGAGTCGTAAGTTTTTGCACATAAATAAGTTTTCAAACATGAAGTCAACTTTTCAGATTTAGAATATGAATCAAAAGTTTAGAATATGAATCACAAGTTTATAAATATGAATCACAACTTTTAGAAAAAGAATAGCAAGGTTTTTTTTTACTCTTGATTTTATTTTTACTATTTCATTATAATATCTCTTTTAGCAAATGGGTGTCTTAATAAAAAAAAATTAAATTTTATTTTACCTATGTTTTAAATTTAAAATGACGCAATGATACTGGAGAGAAAATCAATTAACAGAGAGACATAAATACGAAAGTTTCAATCTTAAAAATTTTTTGCCTTCGACTCAGGTTAGCTAGAAAGTAACTTAATTTGATTATTTATCAACCAATTTTCAGATTATCTAAGGGTTTTCCTACTTATCGACTGCATCAGTTTTAACTTTAACTCTTGAAATATAATATTTATGGATGAAGCAGAAGAACTGTTGAGAATTTCATGTTACCATTTTGCCAACTAGATAACAGAAAATATTTTTTTTAAAGATACAATACATTTTCACTATTGTGACCAACTTCTGCAAGTTCTCCAAACTGAACATAAGACTTAATTTTTTTTTTCATTTTCTTTAATTTAATTCAGATTAAAATATCACAGAATGTCATGATTATTAAATAAAGATTAAAACCTGACAAATTATTTCAACTCTATGCAAATTAACCAAAAGAAATTCATAAACTTAAATTTTTATATAAATGGCATGACATACTACCCAAGGATAACCCATAAAAGCTTATGCATGCTTATTTTCAATGACCTTCATGTATAATTATTATTAGGTTAATAACAAAATTTACAAGGGAAAAAATACAGACCTAAATTTGAGGAAGGAATTTGAGAACATCGCATATTGCATTGTAAAAATATGATATCAAATATTGCAGTAATACATGATGGACAAAAACAGTGACTATAATACTTAATATGATGAAATATAAATTGGGTGTAGTATCTTTTGTATTAGTAGCAATTCTTTGACCTTTTCTTTCAGGTATATAAGAGGGGTATAAAATGTTATTCATTGAAATCGGACTTTAAAACATCATCAAGTTTTCAAATACTTATGGAAAAGGATATAATGACCCTCTAAATCATTCCGTATATTTAACTGTAAAATTCAACATCAAAGATTGATAAAGTACATTTTTAAATTTGTAATCTCATTTGAAATTGGTAATAAAAGGACATTTTTTGCTTTCTTTTGTCTGTATATGTTTACTGACAAAATAAACATGTTATCCTTCCTGATGAACAACAAAAGCTATGGTATAAACTTGTGAAATAACTATTCATAATACTTGTAAAAAGGAGTTTTTGTTTCACCAGGGGGGGGGGGGGCTTGCTTTAAAAAATATTTCTCGTTTTCCATTGATTTCTAATATAAAAAACACAAGTTTTACCAAAATTATAGTGTCGTCTTCCTTTGTTTTCCGAAATAAGTTATGTTTTAAGAAAAAGCATATAAATATCGATTTATATAAATATGAAAAATCATTCAAATTTGTTAACTTTTTCACATATTGACTTGGAGGTATGCGGCAGAACTATGCGTTCACAGTTCAAACAGCTTTCAATGATGTCAGGGAAACACTTTAAACAAGCTGGATATTCATCTATGCAGACTATACATTTTGAGCAATGCACACACATCTAAAATGAAAGGGCATTACATCTTTGAAAATCGTCTTTCTTACTCCTGGAGACCTGGCAGGCAAACTGGTTGCAGGATTATGCAGTATAAGCTTCCGTGGGTCCTTGGTTCAGATTACAGGGTTTGGTTGAGTTAATTATTGAGAATGAACTTTATCTTTGAGAATCTTACTCCTGTATCTCCAGATGACTAGTAATGAAATAAGCCCTCTATACCCATATGGTACCCACTCCCGCCATGGGTGGTGGTAGTTGGCCATTTTTGAACATTACAAATTCTTTTTACATTTAGCACACAAAATTTGCTTGAAAATGTGAACAATGAACATCCTCTTGTTATTTTTTCTAAGGTTTACTACCTTTGGACCAGGGTGCAGGTTCTCTGGGGATAAACACGCTACTCCTCCTACAGTTTAAGTCCGATTTCAATATAACTTGGTATAAAAGTCAACTACACTACGATACATAATTCTTCATATCGGTTTTTTATTTTAATGAAAGATATTGCCATGGTTACTAAAATAGAAATGTCTGTAAAATTCTTTCAAAACACTACTCTTTCTACAGTTTTAGTCTGATTTCAGTATAACTTGGTACACAAGTAGATTTTACTAAGATACATAATTCTATTTATTGTTTTTCTTTTATTATTTTGATGAAATATGGAGATAACGAACAGTAATCAAGCTCAAAGCCCATTAAAACAATAAAAATCGGGAGCAGAGCAAACTCGGACCTCCAAAAACATCAGAAGTTGGATCAGGTGCCATGGAGGAGTGAGCATCCCCTGCCGACTGGTCACACCCGCCATGTGCTCCTTGTCATGATTGGGAAATATTGGGAAAATCCGTCGACAATTCGTAAAGTGTGTAAATAATGACCTAACAATAAGTATGAAAAACGTCAGTCAGCATATGATTTAATGATAGATTGTATTTGCTGACAAGGTCATTACTCACGAAATGATGACTTAAAACGAGACTGTTGATATTCTTGTTTCATCAACTTGTTTGTCAATAACTTACCTCGTTTTAGAAATTGTTCATACGTAGAGCATGCTCTTGCGTATCGAATCAACTGAGATATACACCCCATAAGCAGGTGATAAGGGTATATTGCTGCATAAGTAAGTAAATAACTATTGGTAATTGATAATACGTCGTCGAGATATATCTAAATGTTGAGTTGAAGGCCACAGCAAGAGATTTCTTTTTCTCATGTATAAGATTTTGAATAAATTCTGCTACATGTGAATACAAAAATAGGTCTGCTAATGAACGTTGTTGCCATGGTTACTAAAAAATAGAAATATCTTAGAAATTCTTTCAAAACGCTACTCCTCCCACAATTTTAGTCTGATTTCAATACAACTCGGTACACAAGTTGTCTACACATAGAAACGTGGTCTTTGATTTTGTTGAACAGTGTTGCCATGGTTACTAAAAATAGACATTTCTGTGCAATGCTCTCAAAACGCTTCTCCTCGTACAAGGTTAGTCCGATTTTAATATAGCTGGGTACAGAAGTTGACCACACTAAGATACATAATTCTATTTATCGGTTTTTGATGAATGGTGTTGCCGTGGTTACTAAAAATAGAAATGACTTCATTCTCATCAGAGACTTCTGTTTTAAATTTCATACATTGTAATTAAGATCTCATAAGTATTAGTCACTTTAATTTGTTACATCAAAAATATAGTATTAAAAAAGAAAAGAAACAAAATATAAATTATGTAAATTGTATGATGTCCACAAACTCATAATTTTTTGCCATTTGCGTCATAATGATAATATCTATAGGTCAAATGACAAGATCATAATGAGAAAGAAATTATGACAATTTAGAATACATATGCATTTGAAGTGTTTGTTTCATCAATTAAGCAAGCTGTCATCACGTTTATGTTAATGACCCATTCATTTTTTAATGAAACCAAGAGGTTGGCGTCGACAGACTGTGTTTAGAAGTAGCTACTGTTCAGATTAATTTTACTTGGATTTTAGAACTTTTCGAAAATGAAGGGAACATTGTGTTTTTTATTATTGTCCAGTCTCACCAGTAAGTTGTGTTTTTCATTTTATACTTTCAAAAAATAAATATACGATTGATAGAAAGACTTTGATTTTTTATTCATATAATTAATGTCACAAGAAGTTTTGTGTATAGACTATCAATCATAATTTTCTGTAAGTAAGTCAACACCAGTTCCGTTAGATTTTCTCTTTTTTTTGCAATGTAATCCTGTGTAAAATAGATACTTATTTGGACACCATTTTCATTTTAAGATGTTTTATTTCAGAATACATCAGCATTAAGAGAAATGATGAAGTAATGTACAAGTATATACATATATTTATTTCACTAGGTTCAATAATTCATAATATGTCCCTGTTTGAATATTTTGAATAAAAGTAAAATATACATATATATATTATTTAAACTATATTTATTCCTTCTTCAAAAAAAGAATAAATATAACTTAAAAGAAAGAATTAATACAACTTCCTAATTAATGTATTAATTAATGTATCACAAACAGTAGAAGGAAAGTCTACTACTAGCTATAATTTTACCTTATTATTACACAAATCTGGACAAAAAATTAGAGACTTTCATGTACTAATTTCTCATCAAGGCAAATTCATTACATCAAGGAAGCAAAATATTAGTTGTTTTTAACAAGAGCAGCGTAAACTGATTAAAATGACACGAAATGACGTTTATAAACCACTGTCAACCTTAATTAATTCTCATTTTAATTCAAAAATAAGCTAGTTGTAAGAATCTTGCTCTATGCCTTGAAGGAATAACAACAAAGTCTTTCATTTTTATCTCATTAGTTGCATTTTACGACTGGTCCTATTTCTCGATCAAAATTATGCACAAACTACCGCAAAAACTGATATTTGTGAAGATAAATGAGAAGACATTAGCGTTTAAAATTGTTCTAATATCTATTGTTCGGTCGGCTGGTCTAGGAAAACTAAATTTCATTGTATAATAACCCAAAAAGCTTTTCACGTAATGCTTTCTTAGAAATAACTTTTAGCATGCAAAAGAACATGCATTGAGGGTAGACCATGTTTATAAGGTAACTAGTTAAGGGTTTTCACCCAAAGCAAGATTTTTTTCGGAGGGGAAGGGGGATCTCGAGGAATTAATATTCCTTTTATGCTAAGACTATTTCCCTGGAGTTACTTTTGCGCTGTATATTTTCAGATATAAATTGCCAGAGTCTCAGTCATATGCCAGTTAGAACTAATAAAAGTGGAATTAACGACCATCGAACAATGTTAAACCTTGGATTAGGCCCTAGTTTTAGCATGAAAGACATATTTAAAAACCAAGGACCAAATATTTTATCAACAGGCACCAATTCCAAAACAAGCCAGCTACCTAAACAGCAGCAGTTTACATCTTTATCTCAACAAATTTCAGGTGCACTAGGACAAGGCCAGGTGCAAAAGGCCAACAGAGAACTGCTTCCACCACCATCGCTTGGTTTCCAACCCTCTATTAACGTAAATGCGCCACCTGCTGCCGAAAAATCAACACCAGTAGGACCAGACCCTTTGCCAAACACCGCAAATGCAGGGACCCAATCTGGGCCACCTAAAACTAAGCCAAAAGAGGCAGTCCCATCATCCATACCTGTAGCTCAATCAACAACTGCTAACAAAAACTCACTCACTCCTCAGGTAAAATCAACTTTCAATAACCCGCCAACTCAGCAATCCATTCCATCTAATACACTTTCAAACAGCAATATCCAAGCATTTGTACCCACAGCTGCCCAGACCAGTACAGCTAATAACGCTGTCAGCAACCCTACATCCTCAACAGGTACTAGTCCAGCGGCTAATCCAGAATACAGCCAATGGTTCGGAAACAATGTTCCTTCAGAGGTCTCACAACTAACCCCGGAGCAATTGTCAATGATGTCAGAAAGACAAGCTGAACATTTATTCAGAGTTCAGTTTCCACCGCTTCAGCCAACTCTCAATGCTAATAAGATGCCAGGAACTCCCCAGAATACATGGACGTCAGGAAATTCGATGGGTGGAGCGAACCCATTGGTCGGAATGATGAACCAAATGCTCCAACGACGTATCAATACAAGAGTTTTAGAGGCAATGAATCCACAAGAGGCTGGAATAGGTAAAATATTAAAAACTCCTAATCATTTATAAGGTTGTAGATTTGAACGAAATCAAAACCTGCTCTCTGAAAAAAAAATCACGTTTACTTTCAGAAATCCCTCCTTTTGCAAAAAAAATTGTTTGCAATGGAATTGTGCCTCCGGCTCCAGGAAATGAAACAGCTCTAAAATTGGCAACAGATGGTACTATGGCTCGTGCGAATGCTATGGCCCAAGGACTAGGTAAGTTACTGATGATAAAACTAAGAACATGAACACAATCTGCTTGGAGAAAAAAAAATCACAGCCAAAAAAAATGGATAATATACATGTATTTTCATTTAACATACATACGGTCCTTCGGATGAGACCTTATAAACCGAGTCCCCGTGTCGCAGTAGGTGCTGGCACAAAAAAGATCCCTCACTGCTCAATGGCCTTGAGTGCCCGTTATAGGTCTAAATTTGCAGCCCTCCACCGGCAAGTGGAGGCGTTTCCATATGAGTGAAAAATTCTCGCGAGGGACGTTAAACAACAAACAAACAAATAAATCAATTTACATAACAATACGGTATCATCATGAGAGAGCACTATATAGTAATTGGTTAAAGGCACCAATACATATTCCGTCCGTATTTTTGATAAACCTTGTAAATAGTAACGAAAAAAGACATTAACATGCGCTCTACACGAACTTCTCACCAGTCTTAACAATTTATAATTTACAGAACTCAAGATAATGAAAGGTGCAATTTTATGCCACAATAAACTGGCTGAATATCAAGCTTGTGACATCACCCCCAACTCTGACATAAGGAAGATGCCATGTCAACCAAACACTCCCAATGCTTGTCAACCTGGTTGGTCCTGCAGTTTATACTCTGGTCAAATGATTCCCATTTGTTGTCCCAAAACAGTCAGACAGGCAGTTATGATAGGTAAGTTTGCTGTTTGATATTCCCATTTGTTGTCTCAAGAGAGTCAGACAGGAAGTTATGATAAGTAAGTTTGCTGTTGAATATTCCCATTTGTTGTCCCAAAACAGTCAGACAGGCGGTTATGAAAGGTAAGTTTGCTGTTTGATTTTGATTTTAGATTGATAATTCCTATACTTGATAGTTAGCTTGAGATTTTAAACCCAAAACTCTCTTTATTACACTGTTTTTCTGGTCATTATTTCGTATTTCAGTCGCCCAAATGTAATACCCATATGTATGTATTTATCATTTTAGATCAAACTCGTCAATGAAAAATTCAGAGAAAATTTGTTTTTTATTTCAGATGAAGGCATCCCTGGGGCTTAGATAACTTCCAACATCATTTTTACTACGAAATTATGGCTTGATATTGTGTTAATCATACTGCTGCAGAGAGCCGATATTCCTGCATCCTAACATCCATGATATAGCTGAATTAGGACATTTTGTTACAAAATGTTATATTCACCTTTTGCTCCAGTCCTACTTTTACAAAAATATGAAACTGAAAAACAGAAAAAGAGGATATTAGCAATTTATATAACAGAATTAATTGCCTTTGTGTTTGCTCATTGCTAATGTTGTTATTCAGAATAAAACTGTCAAAAGATATTTTAAGGTATTATTATGTAGTGAAAAGGTACAAAAGACTGCCTATGAAATATGAGGTTATCTTATCTCAATCTCGTCATTTTATTGAAAAAAATTATTCATTCGTTTCATTGAATCTGAGCCATACAGCTTTGACCATTGTGCAACCCCAAAGTCGTTTAGTTGCAATGCGGCATTCCGTCATTTAGATACTACATGTAAATGGCATTTCAACAGATATGTTTCAATATAATATAGAACATACTTTCCATGTGTGCGAGGTTTTTGTCGCTCCTGAAACGAGCATAAGCCTTGTTTTAAGTAGGGAAATATTTTCACTTAAAATTTTGACTTTAAGAAAACAATTTTCCTGATCTTCATGGAAAAGTTATGAGAAAAAGTTAACGTATTCAATAACATGGTAGCTCAGTCGGAAGATGGGTCGCTTTGTGATCGGAAGGTCGAAATCTGCGACAAACCTTAGTCGATAAAAATGGGTAGTAACTTTCTTCACCAAGTGTTCTGCAATGTGAACTGAAAGTTGCGGTTTTTTAATAAGAGCTCAAAAATCTCTGGACTTTGTGAAATGGCGGGTGTTGGCACGCTTAAGAACCCTTACTGCTCAATGGTCTTGAGTGCCGCGTAAAGCCCGTCACCGGAATCTGGCTCCGGGGCCATAAAACTTAGACGAGCTCACTTTTGATCTCAGTCTCACTTTTACCAAAGGAATTAATAGTAGAAAAGTGCGACTGAGATCAAAAGTGAGCTCATCTAAGTTTTATGGCCTCGGAGCCTGGTGACGACCCATATGCGTGATATAATCATGTAAGGGACGTCAAACTACAAAAATCTACAATGTTAAAATGCTAACTCAGTAATAACAGATAATACAAGTTCCACTGTTTTTAAATTCTATTATCTGTGTAAATAGACTAAAATAATCTTAGCTATCATAATTAAAGTGAAATTTCATCTTCTTGTTTATTTCAACTTCGCAGGAACAGTTTTGGAGGGGATAAATGATTTTTGCAGGGAAATTTGAAAAGGTTACTTTTTTTTATACTGTAATGCGCGGATCTAGAGGGGGGTCGGGGAATTTGCAGAGGTATTAAAAGTATATACTGAAGCATATAAAAAAGTATATAGTGAAGCATATAAAAAAGACCTTGGAACCCCCCCCCCCCCCCCAGAAAACGTGGACTCCCCCATCAACACCACGAAATATGTGTTTTTACCGTTTGGGAAATGGATTTTAGGTTGATTTTTTTTGTTGTTGCTTGTCAAGAAATTTTAGGTTGGAAATTTTTTTTGACTGGAGTGGAACCCCCACCCCCAACCCCCCACCCCACCCCACCCCCCTGGAAAAAATTCCTGGATCCGCGCCTGACTGTTGTACTTTATGTACAAAGTTAATTTCACCAATCAAGCAGTTCTAATTTTTATAAAACAACATAAAACTTGATGGTTTTTTATAATTATTTTTTTGTAGAAAAGTGAATCTAATTTTTTTTAACAAGACGATGAATGAGTTTTAGGAAATATTGTTAACACAAATGTAAATTTGTCACTCTGACCTGAGGTTCTATAAGCACTCGGTCACAAAATATCTAGAGGTATGAGACATACTCAAAATTACATAATAAAATATAAAATATATACTCTTGATATGAGGATGAATTATACAAGAGACTGTTATTACATATGAATTTATTATTCCCGTTATTAGTTTGGTAACCTTGGTGTCTTACAATAACCCCATTGTCCCATAATTAAGTTTATTGTGTTGGCCAAAACAGATATAATACATGTCAAAGAACGATAATAAATCGATTATTAATTAACTCTTTAATATCACAATTTTTCGTTATTTTGTAAAAGAAGCTGGAAGAATAAATGAGCAGAATTTCATTCAAAGGTTGGTATCATTCAATTATTTATCTAACCTATTTTTCATTGGTAATTAGTATTTTGATACATTTTGAGTCATTTTCAGAGTAAAAAGGTAAGAGGGTTTTAAATGAACTAATTAAACTCCCCCTTTTCTTGAGGAGGATGGCATTGGACAGCGTGGCCAACTGTGGAAGGGGATGTCTTATGACCCTGAATTCATTTTTCGGGGTAAGGCCACTTTTTATCTTTTCACTTCTTATCTTCAAGGGTTTTTTGCAATTTATCTAACATATAATTTTTGCTCAAAAAGTTGTGCATTCTGTAAATTGTCTTAATGGATGTACCGAGACTACTGCATCATATAGAAATGAAAAATAACCCTAGCAAAAAAAATACTATTGTAAACTATAGTTAATTATAGTAAACTATAGTTAATTATAGTACCAAAGTAAAAACTTTGGAACTTTGATTTACTATAGTAAAAACTTTGGAACTTTGATTTACTATAGTAAAAACTTTGGAACTTTGATTTACTATAGTGAAAACTTTGGAACTTTGATTTACTATAGTAAAAACTTTGAAACTTTGATTAAGTACGATAAATCCCGTGGAATTATGTTTTTGATTCCCATTCTTTACATTTTATGATATTTCAAGTTTGAGATTCATAAAAGTGTCAGTGCACATTTTAAAAACCCGACCCGTCCCCTAAAAGAATAATGTACAAGATATGAATTTTAATGTAAAGGTTGTCACTTGCACCGATAAATAAGCAATATTTATTTCAGTGTTTTTTAATTTTAATGTTATGCAGATGTAACGTAAGTCTTATTTATGGAGAAAAAATAATATATTATAAAAAAAAAAGTGTGTCATTTAGAATTAAAATATCTGCTTTATCAATTTCAGTCAACAAGTTTTTTTTTTTTAAATTTATAAATGTAAATATTGCATTCGAATTAACTACTTTGTATATTTAAATAAAGATGTACAACAAAAACCAGCCCCAACCAACCCCATAAACACTCCTCCCCTATAATGGCTAAATAATCAAAAAGAATTAATAAAAATACATAAGTTGTTAAACAAATGAAACAAACTTTGAAACTTTGATTAAGTATAGGGAAAACTTAAATTAACTATAGTAAAAACTAACTATAGTAAAAACTTTGGAACTTTGATTTTGAACTTTGAACTTTGTATAATGGTTTTCTTAGAAACACTGATAATATTTATGTAACACTATCTATTCATATTTCGACGAACATAATAAAAAAAATATTTTACCACTTCGAGAACCTAAACTAATATAGTAGCTCTAAATATTAAAATACTCGTTGTAATTGACCAAATTTCACTAATCTCGAGAGAACACACTTTTTTTTTTTTATACCTAAGGGATCTTTCTATACATGTACTGGGTTGCTCTTTCATCCCTTCTGATTTATCATGAAAAATCTCTGCATTCTTGAGGAGTAAAGCGTTCGTCAATTAACAAATTATGGCTTCCAGTTTTGATTCCTATTTCATTTATTAACAAATTCTTCTGTGAGACAGTGTCTATACGAAAATTTCTTGTACTATTGTAGGTTTCTGGCTTCCATACTTTAACGTTGTTATAGTTTCTTCGTGCGTATCTAAAGTTTTGCTGTGCAATCTTACATTCAGTTGTAAACCATAGTTTCTTGTACAGTGGTTTTTCTTTACTCTTTAAAGAAATTAATTGCATATTCTGAATTCAAGAAAGTTTATTTCCAAGCCAACCAGTATAAGTTAATGTGGCAGTTTGCGTTGGGAAACAATGACATTTTAGTTCCATATACCCACAATACAGAGCGATATTATATGTAATCGCTGCTTTGCTATTCTGGAGATTATTTTTAAAAATAATTTTACATATATTCCCTTGTTAAATTTAATTAGAACTGTAAACATCGTTAATTGGCAATTATGTATGTACAACTGTTTTAACTATTTATTGAGTCTTTTTTCCTAGCTGTTGCTCGTTTCAAGTAAAGCAGTAGAAAACATTCTGTCTCTCCCCCGACAAAAATGCATTTCTTTGCAGAAAGTTTTAAAAGTCTAAATGAATATTTGAAAGAATTTTCTTCTTGAATGCCAAAAGAGTCCAAACCATATCAGTCCAGTACTTTGAATCTTATAATCCAATAATTAACCAAAATATTTTACCAGATATTAGACTGTAACGGAAATGATTTTCAAACTCAGGCATTTCAATTATATTTTTGATAATGTACAGTTTTAGGTTTATATCTCATAAAAGTGCCAACAGATTGAAATGTTTTATATATAAAACATTTCCATCTTTTGACATTTTTTTCTCCTTATGTATCAAAATTTTGACTGAATTTTGCATTCTTAAATTCAACTGCACCCTTTCGGGCCCCAAATATATACCAGTTCTATATAAAATTGAATTTATCGGGTATTCATCAAAGAGATTCTAAATTCTGCCACCAGTCCAATATTTAAACAATTGACTCCAAATTTCATGTTTTTGGTTCCTTTTATCAGTGTTTAAACTGAGTAGTGATTTTTTTCATTCATTGAGTCAACCAATTACAAAAACATTTAGGGATGGAGAATATGCAGCCAGATTTCAACTTGGGGGCATCTGATGGAATTCTAAAATTAGATTAAAAAATGAGGCAGCAGTTCGGATTTTCAAGGTGGAAATTTATCTTTATTCAAAGAGTGTTAGGGAAAAACCACCTATTTTTAAAGTAAATCCGAAATTAGTTGAGGTTTTAAATCTCTCACAGATTTTAATCTTAACAAAATTGATCGGTCTCTTGTCATTAGCTTCAGTCCGTAGTTAAATAATGGACTTGCAGAGTAAGAATATTTGATGGTTTGATTGATTTGATTGACTGTGTGTGTTACATCTCTTGCAAGATTATCTGATTTATATGAGACGTAACCATATGCTGGTGAAGGACTTCAAAACTAGACTTTTTACTCGGCACTCAGGACCACTGAGCAGAGATGAATCTTTATTGTATCAATGACTGCCCTGACACGGGGCCTTTCCAAGGTCTGGTCCGAAAGAACAGAAACTTTCACTTTAAAGTACCGAACACTTAATCGATTTTGGACTGGTATGCTTAAAT